ATCACGATCGAACCTTGAGCCAGACGAGAGAAGGACTTGCGTACGGAGAAACTAACCATAAACGGGTAAGCCTACCATTTGTGACCAGCGTTATAATTGTAAATTTAAACGTCGTAGCGTGCTATTACTTCAGTTCTGAACGTGTTCGTTGTTTGACTTCTGTGTAACCATCCACCCTTGCCATGACTACCCCTCTCTCTCCTCCTAGCGACGATACGGCATCCCCGTTTCTCGCTGATGCTACTCTAAATCCCTACGATAATATGCCGCCATTACAGCAGCAGGTTTATCAAATCGAGCCTGAATTTGTAACTCCACAGCTCCCTCCTCCCCCGGAATCTGCCTTCACTATAACGCAGTTAGCGTCTGTTTTTGGTCAAGCTTTGCGACCCTCGCTTGATACAATAGGCGAGAGTGTGGATAAATCGTTAAGGTTAGCGGAATTGCGTGGGTCGATACCGAAGTTTTCGGGCGCGGCAGGACCGTTACAGGTGAGTTTTTCTCAGTGGCGTGAGGCGTTGCAGTTGGTAAGAGCGCAGATAACCGTAAGTGATACGCAGTTTCTTTCGTTAGCGTTATCATCGCTCATTGACGGGGCTGCCCAGTTTGCGAGACGGCAGTTGCTCGTGGAGCCGAGTATGACGTGGTTAAATATGTTTCAACTGTTGCAGAAGCAATATTTAAACCCGGCTGATATTCCGCGCGCGCAGTCGGCGTTAAACGAATTTCGGCAGAATCGTAATGAGAGTCCGCGCGCGTGTGCGCAGCGTTTAGTAGAACTTGCCGAATGTGCCTACCCTCATGTTAACCGTAATGAGCATTCTTTTCAGACACGTTTAATTCAGATTTTTACTGCAGCTTTGAATTTAGTTCCCTCCCAACGCGCATTAATTAAGTCTAAACCTCAAACGTTGGAACGGGCAGTCGAAATTTGTGTTGCGCAAACAGTGGTGGAGGCGGAGCTCGGAGCCATTCACCGTACACGCGCAGCACACCAGCCCACGGTAGGTATAAGTGACGAGGGTGCGGGGGTGGCGAATTATTCGGAAGTACGACGCGTCTCACGAAATGAGGAGGTGCCTCGTACTAGCGAATATGAAGCTATGACCCGCCAACTCGAGCAGTTCACCGCCGTGATGAAGGAGCATACGGAGATGTTACTTAGTGTTAAGAATGATTTTGCAGCCGCCATCACAGCTGTACGTGCTATGGTAACCAGTCAGTCATCGTCTGTTGATACTCGTCAACCCGATGTACCTACCCCTTTGCTACCCGCCCCACCTTATCCGCGGCAGTTCCCCTCGACGCCATCACGCGCGCCTGTACGTTGCTATAATTGTCAACGGTTGGGGCATATGGCTGGTGAGTGCAGGATGCGTGGGAAGTCGCAGGGAAACGCTACAGGGGGTC